TATAAAAATATAAAAAAAAAGGGGGAAAAAATGAAACTGTGCGGTGAAGGTGGTCCGTCCCCGCGGCCCTCGGCCCTCGGCGCGCCAAATCCCATTCTTGGCGGTGTAGCTGAGCTTCTTGTCACCGCCAGAAGGCTAGAAAGCCAGAAAGTCGGGCCGGGCGCAACCAAAGTCGACCGGGAAGGCCGTGGAAGGAAAACCGAGGGAAAATCGTGAAAATGGTGAAAAACGGTGATATCAGAGCCAGGAGGAAAACGGTACTCCTTTTTTTAGGGGGTGAGGGGTGGAAGGAATGGCTGCGTCAAGCACGCGAAAGCAAAATGATGACTGTGGAAAAGTTTTGACGGATTTTTTTTTCTCCCCTCTTCCTTAATTTATATTTGGGCTTTGTCTGTGCTGCGGCCGCTGCGCGCGCCGGCGCCCGGAAAATGGAAAATGGATGGCCTGGATACTGGCCATTTCCCCGAGGGCTCGTTCCTAAATCGCCTAACTGATTTTTATTTTTGTTTTCCCCGGATTTCGCGCTTGCTTCTAAATAATAATTGGTTGACGTGGCATTGTGCGCAGCAGGGGCCGCCCCCGCACTGGTAAAAGAGTGGCGTTCGTCGATACCGCAGGCCCAGCAGGGGGTGAGAGAGAGAGAGAGAGAGAGAGAGAGAGAGAGAGAGAGAGAGAGAGAGAGAGAGAGAGAGAGAGAGAGAGAGAGAGACGAGAAAGAGAGTGGGCGGGTGCGGATCAAATGCCATGTTTTTCTTTTTTCGCCCTTTGATTCGTAGTTGCGTCGTCTGTCGTCGTCCGATTGCCGATATTTCTTCCTTCCTCCCTTTTTATTTGTCCTATTATTTCTCTTTTTTTCCCCGTCCCGTTTCCCTTTTCCCTCGCGCGCGTGCGCGTTGACGGGTGACGGCCGCGGGCGCCAAGCATTGCAAAGCTTGCGCCGAGTTGGCCGGCCAGGCTCATTGCGAGGGTCTCTCTCGCACCTGTAAGGAACGCCCTATGGGTGCGAGAGAGACAGAGCGAGACTCACGGTGTGCAGGCGGCCGGGCACCGCTGGGCATTGTCTCGCAGGGAGGACGCCGAGTCCGTCGAGGACCGCGACGAGGGCCGCGCCAGGTGCACCACTTCCCCGTCGCCGTGCTCCTTCTTTTTCCCGTCCTTTTCATCCTTTTCATTTTGCATTTCGCTTTTCTTCTTGTTTCTGCGACACTCATCCACACTGGCGCCGCCACCTTCTTTCTGTCTCTGTCTTTCAGTGTGTGTGTCTGTCTGTCTGTCTGTCTGTCTGTCTGTCTGTCTGCCTGCCTGCCTGCCTGTCTGTCTGTCTGCGGCGCGACGCGTGGTTGGACGTCGGAAGATGCCTGCACGTGCGGACACTCTCACGGAACTCGTTGCGGGGAGAGAAGGCGCTCCGTGGCCGCAGGAGCGTTCCCCCGATTAGCATGTCTTGCAAACGAGCGTGGACGTGGCGGGGGACGTCCAGGAACCGCCGCCGTCGAATCAACTGGCCGTGGAAGTACCCCAAAACGGGCGCGGCGGAGCGGGGCGCCTTTCCGAGCCCCGTTTCGGCACCCCGTCATAATCTAGCCTCTCTCCGCGCCTTCCTCCGGTGCCCCGCCTTCTGGTTATTAATTCACCACCTCCCTCTGCTTGTCTCTCGCTGCTCTCCGGGGGCCCCGCCCCGCCCCGCCCTGCCCCGCCCCGCCCTGCCCCGCCCCGCCCCGCCCCGCCCCGCCCCCCCCCGCCCCGCCCCGCCCCGCCCCGTGGGGGGCTGCCGCGTTGGGTGGCAGCAGCGCGGCCTCGTCCCGTCCTACAAATCGCCATGCCTCCCCGGCCGCGGCCAGCCCGGCAGGCTCATTCCGAGAAGCTCCGTCTCTCTCGCTCTCCTCGCTCCCTGCGGCGTTCCCAGGCGGTGCGAGAGAGACGGAGCGACTGCCCCCGCACAGTGGGCCAGAAGACCGGTGGAGCGGCCAAAACTCTAGACGCGTTTTGAGCTCCAGAGTCGCTGGGGAAGCTGGGCGCACGGCGACGGACGCTAGCGCCGTGTTGGCAGGCAACCCGCCCGCACTCACGCCACAGGATTGCCTACCCTGCATTGCCATTACCATTACGGGCTGGACCTGAACTCCCGGCCGACAGCCTCCAGTCACCCAGCACAGCCAGGCCAGCCAGCCGAGCCTCAGCCCGCATCACTGGCAAAAGTCAGTTTTGTTGTTGTTGTTGTTTGACTCCCGTTTCGCAAACTTTTCGCGCGGCAGCCGGCGGCGGCCGCGCCCCGCAGCGTTTGGCGAAGCGCGCGTGCTCGGTCGCGCTGGCAACTGTTGTTGTTGCCGTGGTTGTTGTCGTCGTCGATAGTGTCTGGTTTTCCGCGATTAAAAACGTGCCGGTAATGTGGCGTGTCCACTCCAAGCACTCACTCCCCCGTGCGACGACGACGACGGCACCGCGACACTGTGAGGCGATAAGCAGGAAGCCATCGAGTGATACGGGGACCCGGCCGGGCCTGCCTGCCTAGGCCTGCCTAGGTGCCTAGAGGTCTGCCTAGAGGTCTGCCTAGAAGGCCTGCTTAGGCCTGCCTAGGTCTGTCAGCAGGTGGCTGTGGTTGAGGCGCCCCGAGTCCGGCCGAGTCTCGGCGCACGGGGTATGTCTCGCCGTCGATACCCCAGGCTCCGCGGCGGAGGCACCGGAGGCACCTCCCCGTCTGGCGCGCTCAATACCGTTCGAACAAGGCGGTGTTTGCACAGCCATGCTGCAATGTTGTTGCTGTTGCCTCCTTGTTGTTGGCCCCCGCGGACCCGAGCGTCGTGGTCGTCGTCGTGAGGGCGATGGAACTGCGCTTATCGCAAGCCGGGCGGCGGGGCGGGGGCGGCGTGGGGGCGGCGGGGGCAGCGCGGACGGCCACCAAACGTAGGAACAGTTCAACAGGTTGCCTGCCTGTCTAACCGCGCGGCTGTCCCCGCCCAGCCCCGCGGCGCCCGGCATGTTTCTCTTTTCTCACTAGTCACTAGCCCCCTCCCCCCGGTCTACCCCGGTCCGGTGCCGGGAGCTTCCGCCCCGCGCCGCGAGGGGCGCCACCGTCAGGCCCAGGCCACACCCTCACGGCCTCACGGGGTAGCGCGGCGGGGCTGCGCGCCGGGGCACCGGGCCTGCCTGCCTGCCTGCCTGCCTGCCCGCTCTGACGTTTGATTGGTTGCCAACGAGACGTCCGGGGCGTCCGGGCAAGGCCTGGCTCGGCCTGGTCGCGGGTCCGACCGCGCCCGGACGCACATCATCACTGCAAGCGTCGCCAGGCCGCTGTCACCGACACGGCCTCTCTCTCTCTCTCTCTCTCTCTCTCTCTCTCTCTCTCTCTCTCTCTCTCTCTCTCTCTCTCTCTCTCTCTCTCTCTCTCTCTGTGTGTGTGTGTGTGTGTTGATGTGCGTGTGTGCGCGCCTTTGAGTGTGTGCCTGTGCGCGCCTCGCCACCCTTCTCCTTTCTCCCCTGCAGTGCATCCAGTCTAGGCCCCCGGGCACGTGCGCGCGCTCCAAGCGCCCCGCCCCGCCACCCCTTTGGCTGCCCAGCCGTCGCGACGCCTTTGGAAGCAAACCATGCGGTGCCGAGGCGAGCGGCGGCGCGCGGTGATCGAGCCCGGCCGCGCCACGGGGACTGCGTGCCGTGCAGCGGCGGCGTCGCGGAGCCGAGCCGAGCCGTGCCGAGCCGAGCCGAGCCGAGCCGAGCCGGGCCGAGCAGAGCCGAGCCGGGCCGAGCAGAGCCGAGCCGGGCCGAGCCGAGCCGAGCCGAGCCGGTGCAGGCAGGCGTCGACGTCGCGGTTGCGTTGCTGCCGGCGCCGCCATGCCGCCGCTCAGCTGATGTCCGTCTGTCTGTCTGTCCGTCCGTCCGTCTGTCCGCCGGCGGGCCCGTCCGTAAGCTGCAGTGCAGCAGCGGCAGCGGGCCGTGAGGTGTCGAGCTTCATTATGATGCACTTGGTCGCCAGGCCGCCGAAGTGAAGTGAGCGAAACGCAAACCGGTCCGCTTCCTGCTGCTCCGCTTGGCTCCGCTTTGAAGCGCAGTCCCTCGCAGTCCTTCTTGGTCCCTCGCACTTTTGAGACTTAAAATACTTAAACGTCTTTTAAACCTTAAGACTTAAAAGCCTTAAACGTCTGTTAAACCTTAATACTTAAAATCCTTTCACGTCTTTTAAGCCTTAAGACTTAAAAAGCCTTAAACGTCTTTTGAGCCTTCAGACTTATAAAGCCTTAAACGTCTTTTAAGCCTTCAGACTTAAAAAGCCTTAAACGTCTTTTAAGCCTTCAGACTTAAAAAGCCTTAAACGTCTTTTAAGCCTTCAGACTTAAAAAGCCTTAAACGTCTTTTAAGCCTTCAGACTTAAAAAGCCTTAAACGTCTTTTAAGCCTTCAGACTTAAAAAGCCTTAAACGTCTTTTAAGCCTTAAAAGCCTTTAAGTATCAAAAGTCTTAGAAATCTTGAAAGTCTTAAAAATCTTAAAACCCTAGAAAATTCACACCGACGACGTTTAACAGTGGCCCCGGCGAGCGCGTGGCTCGCGAGGCTCGTCCGTTCGCAGAGAGGCGCTTCTCTGGCTCAGCACGCGTACACTGTACAGTCGAAAGGGCCGCTATCTCTCGCCATTAAGGTGTATGGAGTACGACGTTGTTTTCAATATACCCACGACACTGTGTATTGCTCAAGCGGTGCACCTTGCAAGCGCTCCCTTACGCCCCGCCGCGCCCCGCCGCGCCCCGCCTCAAAGACCCCGTGATTATGGCGGTGGTGGGGGAAGGGAGGGAGGGGAGGGGGCAAGGGCGAGTTGATAGCGTGCGCCAGCCCCGCTCCCACCCCCGCGCGGGCTGCGCTCTGCGGGTTGCGCTGTGGCCCGCGGTCCTCTCCCCCCTCCCCTCCCCCTCCCCCGGGCCGCGGCGCTAGCTTGGCAGCGAGGCGCCCTGCCATGCCTGGCCGTGGCCTGGCGGCCTGGCCTGCCCGGCCGTGCCAGTCGTTCCGTGGACGCGGCGCAGCGCGGACCGAGTGTCGATCCAGACCGCGAGGCGCGGCGACGGGCACGCCAGGCACGCCGCAGAAGACTGGAGGAAAACGGGGAATCCGGAAACGGATCGCCGGAAGCGGGAAAACGTGGCGGGGAAACCGGAAACTAGTCGCCAGTGCCGTGTGTGTGTGTGTGTGTGTGTGTGTGCGTGTCGCCGAGGGGCTCCTAGCGCCGCCCCAAGCCCACTGTGTTTGATTTGACTTTTCCGCCTCCTTTTTGTACTTCCTCGCCGCCAAGATTTTCACTGTGTGTGCCGGCGGGACTTGATTCTAGTCCCCCTAGTCAGTGATGTTCAGAGCGTTCGGGACCGCCCCCACGCCAGAGCCGCCCGTATCGGTGTCGGTGCCGCAGCACATCATGCCCTGGAACTACACGCCCGGCGTCGGCGTGCTGGGCGCCGCGCAGCCCGCCAAAGGTAAGGCGTGGTGCCACACTGTTAGGGCCGAGGTCCCCGACGACGCCGCCCTCTGCGGCGCCCTGCGCGGGGTCACCTTCACCGCCAGGACGGCCGGCCAGGACCCACCAGGACGCGCGGGCGCCCCGCGGGCCCCATGCACCACGAAAATACGGCGGGCGCCCCCGCGCGCTGCGCGCCGCGGACCTGCGCTCGATGACGAGGACGGCGGTGGCGGCGCGGGGCCGCGGGCACGTCCCCGTCCAGGAAGCGGCGGCCCGCGGCGGCCTGCCCACCTGCACGCGGCCCCGGTCGCCCTGGTCCCCGCGCGACGACGTCCCGTCCCCTGCACTGTACAGTTGGCCAACACCGTCAAAGGAACGGGGGGGGGGGAGGGGGCACCGAGTAGTGGCGGCAGGACGGGCGCGGCAGGGCGACCCTGTTACGATACCTGCCGTGCCCCAGAAAGGGCGCGATTGAAACAAAGTTGCAGTGTGCCTTATCACAGTGACGAGCCGCGAAACGCCACACAGTGGGCCGGAAGACCGGCGGAAACTTGGCGGAGGCGGCCAAAATCCCGGACGCGTTTCGAGTTCCTGAGTCGAAATGGGACGTGTGACCCCACCAATGGATTGCTCTCCGAACGAGGAATCCATTGGTGGGGTCACACGTTCGGTTCGAGTCCTGTTTAGCGACTCTGGGGCTCAAAACGCGTCTCTGGCCGACTGCGCCATGACCGCCATGACCGTCAGCGCCGCGGGGCGCCCATGGGTCTAGCCATCGACGGCGTGCAGCGGCAGGGCCGGGCAGGGCGTCCTTGACTAGGGACACCGCCTTTGCTGGCCGGCGGTGCCGGCGGTGCAGCTGTGTGATATTGATCGCTGGCAAGTGCGCGCCGCCTAGAGGGCTAGAGGGCTAGAAGGCTGCGGGATGCGATGCGATGCGCCCCAGGATGCGCCCTGCCTCGCTCGGCCCTGCCTCGCTCGGCCCCGCCGGCCGCCGGGCTTGGCTTGGCGTGGCGTGGCGGGCACGCGCCCACGAGGACGAGGAGGGCTTTCGACTCATTCATTCCCTCATTCATCCCGTCGCTCTGTCATTCATTCAGTCATTCGGTTACTCCTGCCAGTCAGTCATTCAGTTACTGCTGCAGTACCTCGGCATTCATTCAGTAATTTATTTGACCATTTCCGCAATTCATTCAGTCCTTTTCGCGCCTTTTCGCAATGCATCTAGTCATTTCCGCAATTCATTCATTCATTCGATCATTCAATCATGCCGTCATTCATCCAGTCATTTGGTCACTCCGCGAATTCATCTTGTCATTTCGTCATCGGTCAGTCATCCCGCAAACCATCAAGTCATTCCGTCATTTAACCTTCGGCCATTCATTCAGCCGTCCGTCGAGCTGTTCATTGAGTCATTCAGCCCTATGATTTCGTCCTGCCAGCCAGTCAGTCATTCGTGCATTAATTCGGTCATTCATTCGGCCAGTCATTCACGCACCGACTTACTCATTTTACTCACTCATTCACTCGCTGGCGGTGACGTACGAGGTTCGGCGACGGCGCCGCAGTGTGCCGGCCGGGCCGGCCTGGCCGACCCTGCCGTCTAGTCTAGTATCGACCGGAGCCATCGATTCCCAGACGACAACACGTGTGGCGGGCGTCCTCCACTGGGAGGCCGGTGCATGCGGTGCAGGTGCACGGGAGAGAGAGAGAGGGGAGAGAGAGGAGAGAGAGAGAGAGGAGAGAGAGAGAGAGAGAGAGAGAGAGAGAGAGAGAGAGAGGGAGAGAGAGAGGTGTGTGAGTGAGCGCGTCTGTCAGAGCCAGACATTCCCAGTGCAAGTAAAAGGGTGACGACAATATGTCGCGCCGCGTGTTGTTTCCAAACAAGCAAAATTTCTTTTTCATTTTCCGTTTTAGCTGTTTTTTTTCTTTTTTGCGACTGCGAATCCGTGTTTCATGTTTGTTTTTGGCGGTGAGGGGCGTGGCGGCCGATTTTATTCTCCCGGACGAAAGTTGCGCGCGTGATGCAACTCTGCGCCGCTCTGCTGGTCGCGCGCACCGAGCACTAGTGCCGTTGCTGGCAGACAGACGGGCGGACAGATAGACAGGCAGACAGACTGGCAGACAGGCGGACATACAGTCAGACAGGCAGGCAGGCAGGCAGGCAGGCAGCCTCTCAACGCTTCGTTTAGCACGACGACGATGGAGACGTAACGCCACTGGCAATTAGCGGCGAATGGCACTTACCACTGCAAAATGGCAAAATGGCACTCTTGTCTCCAAAGGCGACGAAGGAAGGACCTGCCGGTGCCGCCGACTGATTCCGAGAGTCGTTTTCGTCCCTGTGCCTCTCTCACGTACACGGGACGGAGTGCGAGAGAGACAGAGCGGCGAAAACGACTCTCGGAATCAGACTACTGGCCCCGGCCCAGCCCGCAGGGCTGAGGGTGTGAGGCAGTGCAAAAAATGACCACCAGTGTGGGAAGGGTTGCCAACCTCAGTCTACCTACTGGGCTATGCTTCTTGGTGGCGATGCCAGGACACTGCCTAGTGGGCAGGCTGAGGTTGGCAACCCTTTCGACACTGATGCATAGCGGGAGTTTTTTTGCTACTCACGTGGCAGCACTGCGAGGCTGGGGCTTTGAATGGAGCTGCAGGGGGACTGCGCGCCCTCCCCGCTGGGCGGTACTGCCGTTGGGCGTGGCGGGGGTAGGGGTAGGACAGGGAAGGGTCGGGGGAGGGTCGGGGGAGGGTCGGGGCAGCAGGGGTAGGGTACCGGGAGGTCGTTGCCTCCGGTGCAATGCCGGGGGGTGGCGGCCGGCCGGGCGTTTCGGGGTACCCACCCAGGCCTTTTGGTTCAGCACTTCGTCGCGCGAGGGGAGGGGAGGCGGGGGCGGCAGGCTTACAGGACGACGCCTGGCGACGCGATGGGGAGGGGGAGGGGGTGCTCTGCAAGTCCTGGACCAGCGGGGCGCAGGGGCGACGCGGGGGCGCAGGCCCCATCATCATCGCCATGCCGTGCGTCTCCCTCAAGCTGGAACGCTGTAACCGATGGCGCGGACCCCAAACAGTGTGGTGCCTCAGCCTGGGCCTGGGTCTGGGCCTCGGCCTCGTACGTGGCTCAGTTACGATGCGGTTTTATCAGCGAGGCGGGGTCAGCCACCTCGGCGGCTACGCGGCTAGGTGTGGGTGTGCCTGTTAGCACCGCGCCTGGCGCGCCTGCAGGGCCGCCAACAGGGCAGCAGGCTAGCAGCGCTCTGTCTCTCTCGCACGCGTGGTCCGCCCCCTGTGGGTGCGAGCGAGACGGGGCACTCGGAGTGGGCCCGGCTATCTGCTCTCGGCAGCCCCGCGTCGCGGCATGCCTGGCCCCGGCCACGCTGGCGGGGCCCCGCTAAGTCCGACGCCGTCCTCGACTGGAGCGCGGCGGCCACGTGGCTGCCGTCAACTGGGGTAACTTCGGCCACCTGGGGTAACTTGGTCGTGGGTCGTGGGTAACTTCGGACAGGCGTGGCGTCCTTAGATTTCAATGCAGGGCGGAAGGAAAGCCCGGCCGAAATAACCGCAGGCGGCCGAAGCACACTGCGCCAGAAGACCGACGCCGGTGGCCGAAACTCTAGACGCGTTTTGAGCTCTAGAGTCGCTAGACATGACTCGAAACGAGCGTGTGACTCCACCAATGGATTCCTCGTTCGGAGAGCAATCCATTGGTGGGGTCACACGTTCAGTTCGAGTCCCATTTAGCGACTCTGGAGCTCAAAACGCGTGCGGGATTTTGACCGCGGTCTTCCTGACCCACTGTGTCAAGCCTCCGCGGCCAGTCGACGGCACGGACAGGGACACCAAGGACACACGTGTCGGCATGTACCACACGCACTTTCTGCCCCAATTCGTTTCCGACTTTCTCGTTATCGACTGTCAACAGGAACGTTTTAGCGCGCCGTGTTGACAGTGTCCTTCATTTCCAGTGGAATTATTCCGTGTTTGCGCGGGGTGGGGCGGCGCGGCGGCGCGCGGCGGAGGGAAGGGGCAGGTTCGACGCGAGGGTCTCGATGGCGCCGGGGCGGCCCGAGGCCCGAAGCCCGAGGGGCGGCCCCTGGCCCTGTCAGCCCGAACTGCGCGCCTTTCAATAAAGTGTTCGGTTCCGAAGTGCCCCCGCCAGCTCGGCCAGCTCGGCCTGCTCGGCCTCGTCGGCGTGCTCAGGGCCCAGCACGCTGTTGAACGCCGCCAGGGCTGCGCAGCGCTGCGCCGCGGCGGCTGTTTACGCCTTGGACTCGTTGGGCAGTGGCCGACGGAGGGGTGGCTCCCCCTCCCCCTTGGGCTGCACCGCGCTGCCCCGCGCCCCGCCGGCCGTAGGGCCTACCGCCGCGGCTCCGGGATCGATCCCCGGGCAAAGCCTTTTCATCTTGGTGCCGCCTCGGCCGCCTCGCCCGGAACAACGTTTTCTCGCGTTTTGTTGCCCTTTTCGGTTCTGCTTTTTGTTTTCTGGTGGCGTGGGGCGCCGGGCCGGGCCGGACAGTGGGGTGCGTGCCTTCGGGGGGTCAGCCCGCCGTCGCGGAGGGGTGTCTGCGTCTGGCGGCCGCGACCCGCCAGCCACATGGCCGCCGAGGCCTTCCGAAGCGAAGGCGTGGCGTCCCGTACAGGTGCGAGAGAGACTATCGGAATCAGTCTGCAGGACGGATCTGGCTCCGCCACCGTGAGGCGCGAAGACGCCCCGCACCGGACGTCCTCTCTGGCGTACTGTATGTCCGTCGCCATGTCGCCATGCATGTGCCGCGTGCGAGCCGCCACGCCGCGCCGCGAGGTGCGGAGGCTGTGCCATACTCGCGTGCCGGCCGCCCCGCCCCGCCCCGCCCCGGCTGTAGGGCCTGGCCGCGTGGTGCTCTTAATGAGCTGCTTTGCGTTCGGCCCGGAAGTGCGCGACCCTCTCCATGACGATGACGGCCTGCATGTCGTGCTGGCCGCCTTCCGCCTTCCAATTCCCTCCATCCGCTGCCTCTGCTCCGCGTGCTTCGCGTG